GGCCGACGGAAGGCCGATGCCTCCGTTGCCCGGCCGAGATTGGGGGGTGGGGGCGAGGCAAGCGATGGAAGGCCGATGCCTCCGTCGCCTGGCTGGAGTGGCCGCGGGGGAGTCTGGAGTCGGGCGGCCGCTGGTGGGAGCCGCGGGTGCCCGGGCCGAGATTGGGGGGGCAAGGCGGGCGACAGAAGGCCGATGCCTCCGTCGCCCGGCCCTCTACAGAATCCACCCCCCAAACCTCCAGGTATTTCCCTCCTTAGAGCTGGCAACCCTACATTCCCCTCAGTGCCTGTTGGTAGGCAACTAAGCTTGGTCCTGTCACCTACTTTGGCCTTTGGGAGAAAACACATTGGGGCCAATCCTGATAGGGTTGCCAACTCCAGATGGGAAATTCCTGGAGACTTGAGGGATGGAGCCTGAAGAGGGTGATCTTTGAGGAGGGGTGGGACCTCAGACAGGTACACTGCCATAGACTCCACCCTCCAAACCAGTCAGTCTCACATAGAGAACCATTGTTGCCAATCTCCAGGTGAGGGCTGGAGAGCACTCAGTATTACAACTGCTCTGCAGAAGGGAGGGCAGAAGTCAGCTGAAGTCAAAGGGGCAGATAATGGTAGGTTGGAGGCTAGCTGGGAAGGAGATGGGGTTGCCAACTACATGCTGACAAATTCCTGGGGATTTGAGGGGTGGAGCCTGGAGAGGGTGGGGTTTGCAGAGGGGTGGGACCTCAGACAGGTAGAATGCCATAGACTCCACCCTCCAAACCAGCCATTTTGTCCTGGGTAACAATTGTTGCCAATCTCCAGGTGAGGGCTACAGATTACTCACAATTACAACTGCTCTTCAGGTAGCAGAGATCAGTTCCTCTGGAGAAAACAGTGGACTCTGTCATTATACCCTGCTGAGGTCACCACAGCAAATTGACACTGTTTGCCCAAAGCCAGAGCACTGCCCCAGAGCCTCTTTCTAGATCCCGTTGTATTGCTTTCACAACAGGCTTTACTGCTAGTGAGTACATAATACAGCACAACCAAACATTCTCTTGTGGCTCTTCTTGGCAGGGAAAGACTGTATGAGTGGAGGTAACCTTCCTTTCAGGAAGCTCTTCGACCTAAGTGAGGAATTGTTAATATGCTTTTGAGGAATCTCCAAATTCCAAAAAAACACTGCTTTAAGCAAACAACAGTATGCAGGCTTATTAATGAGAAAGATCCACTGAATTCAGTGGGACATTTCTGAAAAAAAACATGAGAAAGATCAGTGTAGTCAAAGCCAGTGTGTTATAGAGGTTAAAGTGCTGGACTAGGATGGCTGAGCTTCAAATTCCTACTTAGCTTAATGCATAACTTTGGGCCAGTTACACTCTATAACCACCTCACAAGGTTATGGTGAAGATAAGGGGGGTAGAGAACCACATATGCTGCCCTGAGCTCCTTGGAGATAGTGCAAAATAAAATGGTACAGACAGATATATAGGATCGGGCTTCTTAAGTCCAAATATACTTATGAAATGCTGCATGGAGAAACCAGAAATGCCACATAAAGGATTAAGTGGTTGCTAGAGGTAGTTGCCATTCAGAAATGACATGTAATATATAAATCAAGAGCAATGTTCCCCCTAAGCTGTGGAGTCTTGTGAGCAAAAATTCTACTTTGTGAGCTACTGGCATTAAAGTTGTGAGTGAGCGATTTGGCTGCTGCATCTATTAGTTTGCTCTGGAGCCATCCTTCCTGAGCTAAGACAAAAATGTGTGAGTCAGAGGCAAAAAAACTGTGAGCTAGCTCACACTAACTCAGCTTAGAGGGAACACTGATCAAGAAACACTAACATGAACAGGTTATTATTTCTAACCACAGAGCATAAAACTGGAATGTGGCATAGTGTGATAATTTGCAAATTATCCTGTCATCAAAACCAACAAAAAAGCATCAGATATTTTACCTGTGTATGGAATCCACCATTCTTTTGGAAGGCAGCCTCCAGAGTATCCGTGGCCAGGGGTCCCCTGATGCGCTGCAGTCCAATTGTAGGGTGCCACCATATGTCACATCAGTTCTCTGGGGAGAACTCCCGGTGATCCTGGCATTTGTGGACTGCTTCTTGACATGCAGCCATACCGATCTCCTGGCAGCACCTACCATATTAGCTGCAATACATTCATAGCTCCCACTGTCTTTAGGCGAAACGTTACGTATGTAAAGGGTTCCATTTGGAAAAACAAACAGATTCCCATGAACAAACTGGGAAGTCCGAATCTGTGTACCATCAAAAAGCACCCAACGGATGTTCGGCAAAGGTGCTGCTTTGGCACTACAGTGAATATTAATGTTCTGTCCCACATTAAGGGAAATGTTCTGCTGCTTTTCCTGCTGGATAATAGGTGGCAAGGCAGCTATGTGAAGTCTCACAGCAGTGCTATCTGCCCCTGCGGCATTGCTGGCTATGCATTTGTAAACTCCCCGGTCTGAGAAGTTAGTGTCCTTGAGGGACAAGGTTCGGTTCTCATACAGCATCACTCTACCATCTGTAGTACTCACAGTTTGCAATATTTTTCTGTCCGGGAAAATCCAAGAAATGTGTGGGCTTGGAATTCCAGTGGCTTGGCAATCCATGGTCACCTTTTCTCCAAAATAAACAGTCACATCTCTGAAGCGGGAACCTAATATTTTGGGCTGCTGGGCTAGGACTGTCAACAGGACAATCATTTTATCAACACCATGTAGGTTCTGAGCCATGCATAAATACTGTCCACGGTCCTGAAGGTGAACTTTGCGGATAATGAATGTACCATTTTTCAAAACTTCAAAACGTTGTATCCTTGTATTAGCTGTCATTAGAGCCCCTAGGAGATTCAGCAGACAGAAAATAACAGACTTTGTTATTCTTTTTTTAAAAAAAACAACAACCCAGAAACTGCAATAACACCTCTACTAATACTCTAACAGAACAAAGGGGTAGAGGAGCAAAAACTAATGCCAGATAATCTCCCATGGAGACTCTGATGTTCTTGGGCATCCCTACATGCATCAAATGATGCATCTAGCCTGTTCAATAGGTCTTAGATGAGCATCACAGCACCCATCTGGATGGAACATTTTCATCCACATTGTGAAGGCTGCTTGGGTGTCCACATCACTCTTGCTAGATCATTATTTCAAGAGAGTGGCTCTGTTAGTCTGTTGTAGCAAACAAAAACAGAAAGCAAGTGACACCTTGATTTCTTTAAGGTCTTCAAGGTGCCGCTTGAGTTCTGCTTTATTTAAATCATTGTGAAATAGTACACTAGAATAAATGCAAGCACAAAATTACAAGATCAATAGTAATAATGGGAATCTCACTTTGTAAATAGGTTGAGCTGGGGGTATGTGAAAGGGTGTGTATTGTATATAACCTTTGGGGGGAAATGCAAGTTCTCATGCTCTTTTGTGACTGCATCAAGCTTAAAAGCTCTTACCTGTGGAGATTTTTGTCCAAGAAATGAAAGGCTTGGGTTCTCCTGTGGCATCGCAGGGGATAACAGCATCTGATTCAGCAAGAATGGATAAACTGTTAAATCCTTTTGTTAAGATCTTAGGCCTTGCCCCTTGTGTGCTGAGATTTGTGGAAGGCTGAACTATGCTGGAATTAAATGGCTTTCCTCCCAGTTTAAGTACAAATGGCACATGTGGATTGCTGTTAGAGATGCTTCGGGAGAACTGTAAGGTTGAAGCCATTTGAGGTTTAACACTTGGAGCTATGAATGCAGGAGGGATAGTTATAGCTGGTGGTGCAGTACTTAAGGCCAGAGGAGGGACTGGGATTGTTGTGACTTTTATAGGAGTGCTCTGTGTGGAAGAGGCAAATTTCTTCTCGGTTGAGCTTGCTGGGGCAAGAAGATTGGTCGTCATGGGTTTAGAATTTATATCCAAGTATTGGACTACTCTGGTTCTGTTAACCAGGAAGGGCATTCTGGGCTTGGGGAAATATGGTATAGCTTGATTTATTATTCTTCCATGCTTGTCTTTGGTATCAGGAAGGTAGTTATTGACAAAACCTCTGGATGGAGTGCTGTATCTGGTTTCACCCTGATTGCCAAATCTGCTTGGAAGATTTGGCTTAGGTTTGTACAGTGGCGCTCCTGTCATGGTGAGAAAAGTCTCTGTGTGAAGAGTAGAGATTTTTCTGTCTTGCGTTGTATGAGCAGCATAGGCAGTTATTTCTGGTTTATTGGTATAATGAAGGGGAGGCTGATAAGTTCCAAAATGATGAAATAGACCTGGTACAATGAGATATGGAGGCCTCACTGTACCTCTCACATGAGGAAGTTTTGGTGGTGAAAAAGCAGGTGGCTGATTAAAAATTGGTATAACTCTCACTGGTTGGCGAGGAACATTTGGATTTGGCACTAAACTGTTGAATGTTCTGCTCCCAGATGACTCTTTCAATTGCACTTGCTTTTGTTGTGTGGTTATTCTGTTCTGGTTTGAATGGGTGAAGAAAAGTTCATTCTGCCTTGAGCGAACTTTGGCTCGTATGTTATCGGCACCAGATCCCTTAAGGTCAGGTGACATGACTTGACTAGATGTGTAACTTTCCTTGGTAGCAGAATGGTCAAACCAATTAGGAGTGCTAGATTCTAATGGTGAGAGAGTAGTCACCAGAGGTGCAAATGCAATGGGCAAAACTGGAGAATGGTTTGTTTCAGTTCTATGAACAGCAGTCTGGTCATGATGGTCTTGTAACTGAGTGATCGTTTCCTTTGTGTGACTTGAAGATGTTATTATTTGTGTTTTGTTATGCAACAGGCTGATAGTTTGTTTAGTTTCCGGGGGTTCTAAAAGATCATCAAATATTGTACTATAGTGGGGTGAAGTCTCTGTTTCTCTTTGTTTAGAAAATGGTGTGATTGTAGTCATTGTTAGTGAGCCTGAAGATTTCTGCAGTTCGTCGACATCTGAAGGATCCGTAAAATGTACTGCTGTGCTATCAACAGTAGTCCAATGTGGTACAATATCCGGCCTTGATTGAGGTGCTTTTGGCATGACTCTGTTCTCTGGAGATGATGAGACTACAGATCCTTCTTCAAATTCTGGAATGGAGGAAACTGATAATATTGGGCTAGTGAAACTTGCAATAGATACTGAAGACCCTGATGTATGTGTATCCATGCCTTCATAGCTTATTGTAGCCGTATTTCCTTCAATGGTTTTGATGAATTCATTGTCAGTTGATGTTGCTGGTTTATGCCCTAAGCTAGGATATAAAAATAGTTCTGGATCGGGGGCTGTGGTCAATGCATCATGTGGTGATATCATCATATGACTTTTCTGCTCTTTGGCAACATTAGAAATTATTGCAGGTGTTCTAGGTTGTGAAGGAGTAAGGCTGAGGACAGAAATTGCTTCCAGGTCATGGACTTTGATGGATTTTTGTAAAGCAGTAGCACTTGTTGTTAATAAAGAGCTCTCTTCCAAAGGTTTATGTTCATTTGCAGCTTCTGCTTCAGCATCAGGTTTATGATGACTCCTATAAATGTACCTTAGCAAACTTTGGGTTGCAGCTTCTGTTTCATATGTATTTTGAATGTAAGGCCTAGCTCCCAGGGGAGAGACAGTAGGAGGAATAGGTCTTGGTCTTCTGAACCTGTTTGGTCTTAATCTCCTTCTTCCATATGGTCTTCTGCGAGAATGCTGGGGAACCTGTGAATCAGAGGTAGTGCTTTTTCTTCCATGGTCTGGAATGACTGCCATTGTGGTTAGTTTGTTAGCAGCAGCTGTAGTCATTAGCCAGTCACTCTTTTTAAATGGAGCAGCAGTACTTTCCAAAGTTGAAATAGATTCTGGTATTGGAATATGTATGTTTTCAAGTGTTACTCCTTCCAATACATGGTTTGGGTCAGAATTTTTGTTTACTTGCTGATGTTCTATGCTACCATCGTTCCCAGAATCTTTAAATGGAGAAACAGGCATAAAAATAGTACTTGTGATTTTGGAGCTTTCAGAGGCCTGATGATCTGCAGAGACATCAGCTTCGAGTGATCTTTCTACAGAAGAGAATGTATGTTGTGTGGTTCTAACTCCTTTGTGTGCTGTGATCAAAGTGCTCAGAATATAAGGCTGGCTGCTTATTACTTCTTCATTTGAGTGCTCTTTAGTGAAAGGAGTGGTGACTGTTGGATGATGATCTGTTCTCAAATCACTGTGTTCCCAATCATGTGAGTGTACAGTTGTGGAGAGCCAAGAATCTTTGGCAATAGGTGTTTCCACCAGGTATGTACTTTTTATTGTGTCTGATGATTTGTGCTCTACAACAGACTCAGGCTCAGCACTTACTACTGCAAATAATGGAAACTGATTATAATCCCGTGCATCAATAATGGGAGGAACAGTGACCAAGAGTGGCTCTGTCTCTCCCAAGTGAGATATGTCACCAGAAGATTCCTCTCCACTGACAGGAGGTTCTGTAGTAGTCTTTTGTGGGGGACTGACAATGGGAGGAGGAGGCCTTGTAGTTTTATGCATCAATGGAGTCTCTGTAGTAATCCTTAGAGAAGAGACTGGAGCCACTGTTGTTCTAGGAAGATTTTTGCCACGAACCTTGGCCAAAATATTGGCCCAGTGTTGTGGGTTGATCTGTTTGTTTGCCATATTTATTCTCCGTCGAGATTCAAATACTCTCCGTCCCTCTGCAACATTAATCTCTGGATTCCCATCCATTCCTTTCCATAACTTCATTTTACGTTTCCCTTTTTTATTCTTTTTCACATGAGAAACACGGTCATTCCTTTGCTTAAGGGATACTTCATGGTTCTTCAAGTGGATTTTTTTACTTAGAGTTTCATCACTCTCTCCGGCACCTGATCCCTCATCATCATCTATGACTTGAACCTTTGTTTTTACTGAGGTTCTTGAACCAGGACGCCTTTTTAATTTCATGCTTTTTGAGGATCTGTCAGACACCATTTTATTTACTGTGACCCTGATGGCAAATTGATCTGATCCTTGTTGGTTTATAGCCACACACCGATAATACCCACTGTCACTGACACGGCTGTGTGGAATGAATAGTGAGCCATTGTCTAAAAGGTACCCATTGGAGGAGTTCGATAAATCATTGAGTACATGGCTGTTCGGAAGTATCCAGCTTAGGTGTGCATCTGGTATGGCCTCTGCGCTGCAGGGCAAAAGTATGGGCTCCCCCATGTTTTTCTGAACCTTTATTATCTCAGAATCTGCTGGCTGAATGACTGGAGGCTGCACCAAAATTCTGTAGGACATTGAATCTATATCACCTCTCACTTGAGCAACACAGTGGTACACACCTGAATCAGCATAGGCTACTGATTTGATGACCAGCTGACCACTGCTAAGGACAGAAAATCTGCTGTCCTCCATTTTGAATGGAGCTTTCAATTTAGTCCCATCTGGAAGAAGCCATTTGATGGAAGGACTATCTGTTGCTTTCACATTGCAGCTCAGCTGAGCATCTGAACCCTCTACTACACTCTGAACTGCCTTTGTGTGGAGGTCTTGCTCTATCATAACCCAGCTGTTTCTCTGCTGTTTGTTGCCTTGAGTTTGAAGGGTTTGAGAAACATGGGTAGAAAACGACAGCACTACTTTCTTCCCAGTACTCTGGCGCCTGTTTAATTGGATATGTATCAGGGGTTGCATCAACCAGGCAGGCTCAGCAAAGATCCTCCCTTTCACACCTGTGTAATAAAGTGCATCATAATCAGAACCTTGCCTGTAATGGTAGCTCAACTGAGGTTCATGGCTGAGCATGTGCTCCCTTTCTAGCTTGACAGGGACTTCACTGTAATAAGCAATTAGCTTCCACAGTTTTTCATAGTTCTCTCGGTTCATGAGGCACTCCATATCCAGGGAAATGGAGGCATTGATTTCCATTTCTTGGGGAGAGATTTGATTCCACTGGATTTTGGTAGAGTCTGTTGGTTTCTTGATCTCACAATCCAGATTCACGATGTTTCCATGCTCATCTGTCACATTTAGAGTAATATTCCATGGAGTAAGCTGAAACTCTTTGCTGTGAAATTCAGAGCTGTCATCATCTTCCTCCTCTTCCTCCTCATTGTGGCTGATGTTCAGTTTTAGTGGAGACTGTATGATGGGCTTTGTGCAAGAAATGTCTTTCAAATGTTGAATATCATGAGTCTGGAGGTGCTTAGGGTAGGTGCATTTTGGGCAGAGCTGCCCATCCTCATAGATTTTGTCTTTTTTACACTTTAGGACACCTGGAAGACAAAAAAAAATTAGATAGTCCATGGAACTTTCACATGGAATGTTTTTACCAGAAAAAATTAAATGTTTTCTAAAGGCAAGGACTCCGATCTCACAAGAAAGTTGAATAGAAATGTACTAATTCTAATTTTGCTGTTTGGGTATATAATTGGAAAGCAAATGACAGTATAAAACAAGAGAGTATGAAATATGAAACACAATTTTATTATTTACTTCATTTATACCCCACCATTCTCAGCAATGGGAACCGAAAGCAGCATACATTGTTCCTGCATTTGATCTTCACAATCACCCTGTGAGGTAGGTTAAGAGTGTGTGAATGGCCCACAATCACCCAGTAAGCTTTAATGGTAGAGAATTTGAACCTGAGTCTCCTAGATCCTAGTCTGACACTCTAATTACTGCATTGCACAGGCTCCACACAAGAGCTTTTCTCCTACATATTTCTTTCCGGTCACACCTCATCTGTCCTGACTACCAGAAACTGCCCAAGAACATGTTGGTTTTCAACTTAACTCTACAACCCCTCAAAAAGGATACTGAACTATTTTTAAAAGATTTTGATTTGGGTGGATCTGTTTTCCTTTCATTATTCCTAACATTTGTCAAATTCCTCAGCCTGCTTCTTGACAGCCCTTCCCTGGTTATCATCACTGAGGATTCTGTAATTACCACTTCCATTACACTTATATTTGTTGCATGGATATCTGTTTGAAATGTGAATATATCACAGAATTCTTTATAACACCATATGATATTTTAGGATGCATTCTCAAGTTGCATGGACTTCCCCCAAGTTGGCCCTGATGCCTGGGAAAATTCTTGTTCTTTAGGGTATCTACATACATTTCTAAAAAGTTATAGCATTTGCTCAGGGATATGCAGAGCTGTTTGTCTGTAATCATGCCCATAAGAAAGTGGCATGACTCAGTCACTGACCCAAGGAGAAGATTTAGAAACTAGCCTTCTCACTGGCATGGTAAGTTCTGTAGTTTTCTGACAAATGCCTCCCTATCTGCAACTCTTTCTTGGAGTCAAATAGCAAGAGAAACAGACACACAGTCATGCATTGACATACAGAACCCAAAAGGAGTGTGGGCCACCATAATCAAATGTTTATGAACACAAAAGGATTCAGGTGAGAGATCAAGCCCTTAACACAAGGCCTTTAGTAGGTGTTGACCATCTTAGTCCTGTATGACATCATGTCATTCAGGAATTACTCAGATCCCTGGTTTTCATCAATCAAGTTCCAAAAACCACTATGGAAACCATATGGAAGGAAGCCACTATGAAGGAAAGATCCTCCTCTGAACGCCAGGACAGAACCACTGACCAGAGCTGCCAGAAAAAGAAAGGAGCTGAGCCGGAGAAAAACAGCAAGCCCACCACCTTGGTGCCAGTAGGCAGCCCCGTCCCAGCACTATGTGGCCTTAGTTAGGGATGTGGCCTTAGTTAGGGGAAAGAAACACTAGAATCTCTATGTAAACTGCCCAGAGACCCTTTGGGGTCAGGGTGGTATATAAGCCAAAGATATAAATAAATAAACAAACAAACAAATAAATAAATGTATTTGACAAATCACATAATTATTTTCACACATGATGGAACTTTTTTTGCTATTGTTTTGTTCACAGCAATCTGCACTAAATTACAGAAATACAGTCTATAAGCTTGATAAATAAATAAACCAAACCTTGAGTGCCCATAACAAAGGAATACAAAATAAACACACAAGTTTCTGCTGGAGTCACTTTTATAGTTTCCTTTTTAAAAGACTCCTACCTGGAGACTTTTCATTCCATTCAAGGAGCCATCTCAACCTGCAGTCACAGGACCAGGGGTTTCCATGAAGATAAATGTTCTCTAGGAGTGGCATTTTTTGAAAAATGCCCACAGGCAGTGTTCTAATAGAATTTTCAGACAAATAGAGGTGCTTTATCGTTGACAGCCTGAAATAATCAAGGACGATAAATGTGGAAAATGTGTTGGGGTGAAGCTGCTGAAGTAAATTTCCTTCCAAATGGAGAAGTCGTAGGGAAGTTAATCCATTAAAAGCATTTGGATGGATGAATTCAATTCGGTTGTGGTCCACATGTAGTCTCATTAGGCTGGAAAGCCCTTGAAGAGTTTGACCAGTTAAAACTTGCAACTTGTTGTAGCTTATTTTGAATACCTAAACGGTAGAGGAAAATTAGTAGATTAATGCTTTCAACACTGAGATAATATTTCAGAAAAACAGAGAACACAACACAGGAAAACGCACTCCCTCTGACTCAGAGAAAGGTCATCACACTTAAGCTATTAAAATCAAAAGGATTTAAGAGAGGTGCATCTAACTTGACCGATTTATTTTACTGATGCTTAAGTATGAGTAATGTTCTATAGAACAGGACCAAAAACAAGAGACTAAAGAACATTATGAACCATAGCAATAGACTGATTCAAACCTTCAAGATCTTCAAGGAATAAAAATGACTGCTCAGTGCACAACAGAAGCTCAATAATGGGTGGCATTCTACTGAAGGAGATTATTCCAACTCATTGGTCAGTGATGTGGATTTCCCTCTGCATCCATGGAGCTTTCTCCAGTGCCCAAGAGAACATAATAGTCTTGGCTTATGTAGAGTTCTGGATACATGCAGGAACCATGTAAAATCTATGCATGCATTCTAGAGCATTTTAGAATAGAGTAGAATGGCTCTTCCCAACCTGTGAATTATAGCCCACAAGTGGTTAAAAGCCTGTGGAAGTGGCTTGCAGGCTCCTGTTGGCTTATGGCAGCTGTTCCCTTCCCTTCCTTGCCTGGTGCCCAGCTGAACTCTCACTGAATCCCTGAGGTGGAAGAGGCGGGCTGTTGCTTTGAAGGCCCTCCCCTAATTTTATCCAGGGATGCTGTTTTCCTGCAGCCTTCTGAATGGCTTCGGGCCACTTCTTGATGCATCCTTGTTGGGCTTTTGGGCTCCTCAAGAGTTTTTTTACAGGAGCTCCTGACCTTGCTGTACTGCATTTTTTTCTTTCCTTTGGCTGCCACCTCCCCATTTCCTTTGATGTTAACACCACCAAGCTCTTTCTCAGTGTTCAGTCACTAGTTTAAAAGCCATTTTTGAGTTGCACCTGCTGTGGCAGTTGCAACAAATGGCCAATGAAATGACCTTCCCCAGGCTCCTGCTTGCTTCAGGTTTGTCATTTCTTTGCTGCTGCTTGCTCCAGCCCTGCTTGGTGCAACAGCAGCAGCAGCAGCAGCTCCCAGGCTGTGTGTATGTGAGGGTGCTTGTCTGTTTTCCAAGGGGAGATCGGGTCATGGGCAATAGTGCAGAGATGATTATACTTTGGTACTCCACAGAGGAGAAACATCAAGACCAAGCTATCCCTGACTGTCTCTGATTGCTGGGGAAGTCACACTTTATATACACCTTTTGCCCCCACCTCTTCAATCTTCTGCAAAGAAAGAGCTTCATTTCCTCCCTCTGACAAAAGCAGAATGTATCTGAATGAGACTCTGGACAGAATATATTGGTTTGAGCTGATCAGCAGAAGAAAACTAGAGGTGCTTGATTCTTAGAAACAGATGCATTTCCCTGAAACAGAAATCTGTCACTGAAGTTAAATGGAATAGCCAAGGGGAGGAGGGAGGTATCTGTCAATTCTAAAACAGTGTTATAAGAGAAAGGAACTTAGGGCTGAATGTTCTTTTTTCTCATGTATTTTGATTACTGTTATATTATCTATACACTATTGGCCACCCGTTGCCCCCATCTGCAGATAGCTAAATTTGCAGATAAGGGTCATGTGGACACTAAACAGATCTTTCTTCAAACTTCAAACCTGACACTCCCCAGGTTTGCAGAACAATCTGAAAATTTTTAAAAAAAGACACAGGAGGGCTAAATTCTCACAAAGAGTAAAGTAGCATTCTCTGTGCAAGTGCAGAGAATGCTCTTTACTACTCCCCTTCTGCAGCAGTGGCAAAAAATCCTGGGGGATGCAAAGGGCCCAGAGGGGATGCAAAGGGCAGGAGAGCCCAGGGGGCACATGGGGCATGGAAACGGTGACAAAGCAGCCAGGGGGCTGTGTTGGGCCTGGAGGAAGCAGCAGCAAAACAGCCGGGGGCAGCCATCAGCCTGGAGGCAGCTGCAGGAGAGGCCAGGAGCTGTGCCTGGCAGCAGCCTGGCAGCAGCTGCGAATCAGCCCAAGGACTTCATTGGTGAGAAAGTGGGGGCCAAGTTGGGTTCTCCAGGATCAATGGCGGGGAGGGGAGGTGGAAGTGCAGCAGCCCAGCAGCAGATGCCTTGAGGGTAGAGGGGCTTGGGGAATTGCCATGGGCCCAGCATCAGAGGCCTGGAGCCACACTGGGTTCTCCAGCAGCAATGTTGGGGGGTGGGGGTGAGCACAGAGGCCTGGTGGCAGTGGCTGCTACAGTGGTGGTGGGGAGCCAAGATACTTGTGGGGGTCCCTTCCCTCTTTTAGATGGCAGTGACTAGAGGGGAAATAAACTTAAGAGGGGGAAGGGTATCATGGGCCCTCACTTGTTTTGTCTAAAAGCCTATGTGCTATGAAGACTTCTTGAATAAATGAAATGAATGAAATGAGAAAGGAGCGTCAGATTTGGAATCTGAAGTTTTCAGAAAATAGGGAGCAACCCAAGTAAACCCCAACCCCTTTCTCATATTTTCCTTTCCCAAGCTCTACTTTAGAGCAGAAGTAAGTGAGGTGGAAAGGGCTGTGACCCTGACACTGTATGCCCAGGTAAGGAATAGGCCAAATCCTCCACCCTATCTGCTTTTGTCTGTTTTCTCTGAAGTAAATCTAATTTAATTCAATGAGGCTTACTTACAAGGCAATGCTATGCCCACTTACCTGGGAGTAAGCCCTGTTGAATACAGAGACTTACTACTGAGTGCACATGCATAGAATTGTGCATTCTGACAGGGATGCAGAAGAGAGGCATAATTGTTGTACACTGCCCATCTGGGGAGGGCGGTATATAAATCAAATCAAATCAATAAATAAATTAAATAAAATACTGGTTGACAAAGTGCAAGCTCAGCCATCTCCCTGATACTAGCCAAAATGGACTTTATTGTGAATAAAACTATTTAAAAGTTTTTACTTTGTTATATCTAACATTGCTTGCAAAACTGTATGTTTTTAGATTACTTTCTACAGCTCATAAAGCTGCAATCAGTTACAATCTTACATTTGCATGAAAAAAAATCCTGTAACCTTGGAAATGCAATAAATGCTTCAACAGATTCCACTTTAATAGGTGCAGCAAGTAAATTTTTGCTCAGATATTCAAGTGACAGTTATAAAATAAGCAATTCCATGCAATTAAAATGCATGGAAATGATGGCTGCCAAAAGCCTATGGTCCAAAATTAATGCAACAATAAATCAATGGGTCACCAAGTAAATTTGAACTTGTGGGTTCCCATACCAAAAAAAGTTAGGAACTAGCGGCGTAGAAAACTATAGTTGTTATTCTAAAGGAAACACGTTGACTCTACCTGTAATGATGACAGATCTTTTAAGGCCCCATTAGGTATATTTTGGATGTCATTCCCATGGATCATGAGAAGTTCTAGTTTTGTAAGTCCTGCAAATGAGTTTTCAGATATAGTCTGTATGCTGTTAAACCTGGGAAGGAAACAGATTCAGTTATGTTTTGTAATGAATGACAGCTGCGTGCTGTGAAAACCTGGTATTTTAGGTAACTTTGGTTTGCTCTTAAATTATCCACTTAATTTGACACAGTTAATGAAGCATTCTAACAGGGACATGCATGATTTATGGTTATTTTCTTATATGATTTCTAAAGTCAGTTTTCTGCTTCTTTAGCCATATAAAAAATACTAATCACAATTTAAGAGTCTAAACTGGCAATGCCAATTAGAACAAGCTTTCCCCCCTCCATGAGCTGGGGATATTAGTTAATGGCAAGAAGCCATATGGTGATGATACGGAGCCTGGCAAAGCAGTAGACCTGCAAGAGTGCCAACAGAACATGTAACCTTCAATGAATAAAGAGGACATTTAAAAATGGATCCCTGCCAAGCCATTTCTAGAAGCGGAAAACCACAGCTACTAGCTAAATTGCTAAATTTGCAAATAGGGTATGCAATTACATATTTAACTGTTAAGATAAATCACTGGTCTTCCAGTTGCAAAAGTGTGGGTCTAGAAACTAGGGCTGTGATCTCATTAAAACATAGCAATTACTATAATTTATAAAGCATTTAACCACCTAGGGCTGTACAATTTATAATCAATTATTTAACTTTAGATAGATTAATTATGTTTAAATATGTCTGCAAATTACCCAAGCTGCATTACAGGTTACTCTTTGAGATACTGAAAGAAATACACAATGACCTGAAATTGGACAGACAAAAACTAGTATGCATTGTTAGATTTTTTAAAAAAACATATTGGTTGGTGCCCTACCACTCTACTAAGCCAAGTTTGAAGACTTCCTCCACCCTAAGTTGCCTCCCTCCAACTTAAGTGGAAGAACCACTCATAATGTAAGTCTTCTTAGAGTCTGTAGCAGAACCACATAGATTCACCTAACCATCTTAAGGTTTATGCAGGCTACACACTGAAAGTCAGGACTCAAAGCCACATCAGACTATAAGAGACAACCTGAAGGTTTCAGATAGTACACTACCACTAAGCTCTAACCAAAGACAGGAATTCTAGGATAACTAGCTGGCTTCCAGAGCAGCAAGTTGAACAGTGGTAGATTAACACAAGTCATGTGGTAAGGTCATGTTTTTGGGTGACATAAGGAAAATTTGCCTTGATTCTAGGACCTGGCCTTCGTGGCTTAATGGAAGATGGGTCTGACACTGGTGCCAAGCTTAAGTGCATGGATTCAAACAGCAGAGGCTTCTGATCACTTAGAATCTGCACAAGCTTTGATTTGTTGACAGAGCTGGAAGTTCTTATGTTATGGCTCTGAAAACACTTCCTCTTACTTCCTGCCACTTCAGAGCAGTGGGTGTCAGAGATCCATAGACAGCCTTATACTGCCAAAAGCTAAAAGTTATGACTGGATTGCTCTTTTAGTGATTTTTGTTATACATTCCCAAGGCAGCTAGGATTGGAAGATATATCTGGTCTTCCAGACAGAATACTTGGAAGCCTAGATAAACCTTTGGTCTTTCTCAGTAAAACCCATCTTTCATTGCTAAAATTTATCTAAAATGATCATGTCATTCATAGGAGACTCCCTTTCCAAATACTGCATATCAGCCATGCCTTCACCTTCTAGAGAAGATGAAATTCTTTATTCTTAATTATGTCGATGTCATCAATTGCTCATTCTCCTGAAGTCTTTTTGGTATAAATTGATGGATTGTATTTCTTGATCTTTAAAAGCAGAGTTATTTTTTGGCAAAGCACCGTCAGTTCACAATAAATGCATTCTCAGTGTTCTCGTGTACTTTCAGTTTGGGGATTTCTTTTACTTCCTGAAAGAAACCATAACCTACTCCAAATGTCATCCCATGAGTCACAAGCAAAAAAGGAATTAAGTGCTTTGGAAAATACCAAAGCGATCATAAAAGTATTCTAAATGATAGCAACCAAATCATGTAAATTCCTGTGGAGTACAAAAATGACCAAGCCACTTCTGTGCCACTTTTCCTAAAACACTTCATAGAAGTCACTGGCAGGGCCAAAAGTAGTCTTCTCCTGTGTTGTTGAGCTTGAGTCGTTACAGGATGACACAATAAATGAGCACCAGAATTAACATTATGGTAAAATGTCATATTGTTCTAGAGTGTGGTACTCAAAATGGGCTGTTGAAGCTGAGTATACATGCAGCATGTAGTCTGAGTGATTTGTACTGCCCTTCAATGTTCCTTGAAGTCAGTGGGCTTAGAAGACTGAAACATGGTTTAGGATGGCACTGTTGGAGACCAAGACGATGGAGCTACTGGTGAGTATAGGCTGCAGAAAAGGTATAGAAGAGAAACAGCACTACAGGAGGTGATGGTAAGATATAGATTACTTGAGAAAAGTAAACACCAATGGCGCAAGCAATGTAAGAAAGATGGTGGGTATAGATATGGAAACAGAAAGAAAAGACAATATCTAAACTCCAAAGGCCAATGCAGATATGGTGAGAACAATAATAAGTGGGAGTAGCTTCATGTAGAATCTTGGAAGTGGCAAGCTGGCACATGGAAACTGAGGCATGTAACTGGAAATCTCTGAAAGGAAGATATGTACGAGGTATGGTATTTGTTGGTATTTGTTATCCTAAATAATTTTCTTCATTCTGAAACTGCAATGAGAAGTGTGTGGGCACGAAACAGTTTTGAGGCAGATGGAGAGAAAATACACATGATGCACACTCCATGTTGTCCTGTGCTTTTAGTAATGGATTAAAGGCAGAAGTGAGGGAGATTTGAGAGCATATAACACTCACCAAAAATGCTAATTAGAAGAAGAGCAGAAGGATTACAGACCTAGTTTCATTAGTACTCTTTATACAAAGCTTTTTATTTGTACAGTACAGGCATCAAATTGCAACTCTATTCAGTAGTGATGCATAATTCTTCAACTTTATGCATCATGTGGGATGAACTCTATAGGATTATACTCAAAGAATGTAAAATGCTACAGTAAAATTGCAATACAAACCCCAAATTGATTCGTTCCACATGTTTCGAGATTCTTGTTGGAACTGCTACTAAGGACCGAAATGTGCAATGAACTTCAGTGGGAACATAACAGGCGCATGGGTGAGGACACGCAAGTGTGATTTCTGGAAACCCCAGAGAGAGAATCAGCACCACGGATAGTGCCCCCAAATGTGGTTTCTTTAGCATGTTTTCAGATTTCTTCATTTTGCTGTATCTATTTCATTTGCAAAAAAAATATCATTGTTACACAAACATACATACAGCATGGCAACTTAGTTATGACTTAATTCAACTACACCATTCATGTAAGTGCCTCTGAACATTTAGGCTAAAATATGTGCCTTCAACATTGTGTTTGAGAAGCTCCTGTTACTTACCGTAACCACTTTGGAGTCAGTTTCTGAGTCTTAGCTTGAAAATTTATCTGTAACATCTGATACTGCAGTCCTAAGCACATTTACTATTGAGTAAATCCAACTGAAAGTGGGATTTATTTCTAAATATACATGATTAGGTTGCAGTGTAAATAAGCACACAGTAAAAGTTTTATATGTGTGTCCGTAGCCCATAACACAATGATGCTGTTGTTGTTCAGTCGCACAGTCGAGTCCGACTCTTCGCAACCCCATGGACCAGCTCCCACCAGGCCTTCTGGTCTTCCGCCGTCCTCTGAAGTGTGCTCAGAGGACACAATGATAGGAAACAATAAAGCAGATACTATATAAATATTCATCTGTTTTATTGTTTTAATCACTGTGTTATGGCTTTGGTCACACATAAAATTACTACTTTTCTGGTCATTTACAGTACAATCCTATGACAAAAGTACAGATTTAACCTCCCCCAATAACCTCAAATTAAGCAACAAAACACATTACATAATGAACATTAAGGTGCCCAAGTAACAACCTATCCCATAGTGTCTAAATCTTCTTCGCCTACTGCATACTTTCCAAACAATTTTGCCAGTCCTTTACCAGAGTCAAAATAACTACTGTAATTTTTTGGGGGGTATCTTATTATTACTCACAAGCAAAAAATACAAGCAGCTTTTTGTGTGGTTGATGAACTTTCATGTCTTGAGCAGTGGGGAAGGAATTCAGTCTGCTCATTTTCAGAGATAGGACATTCAAATATATAATAAGTAATTGTCTGTATTTTGCCTTCCAAACAGATGCAGAGCTATAAATTAAATGAAATATTTATATGTCTGCCATCCAGCATTGCTGAGGGCATTTGCTGAAACCTAAGAAGAATAAATGTTCTTCTCAGTGAATTATTACTTCAAGCATCTAAAAATTGTTCAAGACATCTAAATAAATATTCAGGATTATATTTCAAGTTGTGGCATAGCCACAACTGTTCTTAATTTTAATGGGAACTCAATGTATTTATCTAAGGAACCCAACATGCATTTAAGCATTCAACAGGGAAAAAGTCACTTAATACCAATATTGAAATACAGAGGTGTAATTCTGCAAACTCTCACAGAAAGCATCGCACTGTTTGGATAAAATGTGCCTTATAAATATGACCCCTAGTTTTTAATGGAAGCATAACTCTTTAAGAGCTGAAATAAGTTTTGGAAAAGGAAGGCCCCTAATTTCCCTAAAATTGCCCTCACACTAGGTTTTTTGGTAATTATATTTTCTATATTTTTTTCTTGTGTCTCTTATAATATTTTTTTAAAGGCTGAAATAACCATTTTTCCAATCTAAATTGTATAGGTACAGTGGTTATGGTACTGAATTAATCGGATATAGTGACTGGAGTAGGATCTGAGAGACCAGGTTCAAATCCCTAGTCAGCCATGGTCACATCGCTTCACAACCTTACCTACCTCACACAGTTGCTGTGGGGAATGAATGGGAGAGCAATGCATGCTTCCCTGAGCTCCTTGGAGAAATCTGTGGACTAAAAATGCATAACTGGATAGGCAGAGGGAATTCAACACATCTAAAAACTGCTTCCAAAGAGACCCATAAAATGTCCCATAATCTTTTATGTATGCAGTGAAGAGAAAGAACCAAGATGCACAAGATGCACAGATCAGTTAAAGCATCATTAAATGCTAAGACAGCTTCCATGCAGTCTACTACTACTAGTTCTGGTTGGTACATGTTTCAATAAAGGCCCCACTTTACTGACTTGACCACAGATATTTGAGAAAGCCCTTCAGCCTGACCAGCCATGTTGCTGGGATATAATGGCTTGCATATGAGACCAATAGGAACGGAATGACAGCATTCATGACATTTTGTTTTTCTTTGCTGTTCTGTTGCATTTCTCTCAACAAAATAAATAAATAAAGGCCCCATAGGCTGGAAACAGGAGGATGGCTCTGGCCCTCTCCTCCTCATTGGAGCATCAGAAATGGTGCCTTGGGGTGTAAGCACACCTGCAAATACACACTGAAGTTCTCCAGCTTCAGTTATAGTAGCAGTTTTTATGTCCAGCCACATGACTTTCCCCAGACTTACATGAGCAACTCACTTTGTCTAAGACAAGCCATGTGCAAGTGGCAGTTGCTACAGCCAGGCCAGGTCATGCCCAGAACAGGCAGGGTGGGCCTGCAGGCTCTAAGTTCAGTAACAGAGTTTGGCAGCCAGGTGGAGCCAGTCACATCATCAAGCCCTGCCTGGGATCGGGAGCAGCCAGGGAGACAGTTGCAGCTGAGACAGGGCTCCAGGAGACTTCTGGTTGGGTGAGAAGATGGACGGAAGGAGCAAGCCAGGGGAGGGGAGGGGATTGGAAGGGTGGCCAATTTAAGGAGGATCTTCATTAGGCAATGGTGCATCCTTACTCAGTGTATAAGAGCAGAGGGTATATGGAGAAGGTGGTGGAAGATGAGGAGATGGGGGCAGCACAATCCCCTCCCCAATCTGAGGCCCTGCAGGTCCTCCACTGCAGGGAAGGACACTGAGGAGCAAAGGCAACATGGCCTTGACCAGGGTGAGTGTCAAATTTGATCAATGGAAGCATGAAAAGATTGTTGACAGTCTGGTCAGTAGTTGCCTGAAGAGAACTCCTTGGCTGTGCTTAGAACCTTTCTGATTCTTCTGCTTGGTCTCCCCTGATTTGTCCTGAATCCTGCTCCACAGTTGTTCTCCTTCCTGTTTACCCTTACAGTCCTGCTATATCATCCCTGATCTGGTTTGCACCTGGACAATAACCCTCCTTTTAAGGCGAGACTGTGCTGTGTTGAAGGCTAGAGAGAAACACAAGTGCAGCACATCATCACCTTGGTCCAACTGCTTTGGCAATAAGACAAATTGCCAAACTCACCCATCAGTTCCAGACCCTACAAGCCACTTCCTCTACATAACAGCTCAGAGAATAGAGCCATTGGTCTCCACAAAGCTATTTCTTTGTATATATACCCATTCTTAAATATGCAAGCAATAAGACTGTCATTCCTTTCCTATTGGTCTCATGTGCAAGCCATTATATCCCAGCAACATGGCTGGTCAGGCTGAAGGGCTTTCTCAAATATCTGTGGTCAAGTCAGTAAGCAAACTGTCCCTTCTTAAAAAAACAACAACTGTGAAATGCCTTAAAAACCATGTGCTTATTGAGGAGTCTCTTTAAAAAATGTTGGTATATTTAAATATTCTGCTTATTTTCTTTCCTTTAGGTAATGAATAAATACCCACTTCTGCTTTCAGAACTCTTCCCGAGAGCCAAACAGAAGTTGCAAGATCAAAAGAATACTTGCTATTCAAATTCCTGGGCTCATCTTTCTAAGTGGAAATTATGCACAGTGAGGGTTTTGATCTATGGCAATGGAAAGTGCATTATGTCTTCACATTGTCTTCCACTCCTGTAGATAGTTGGCAGGCCAGAGCACACACAGCTGACTACAAAACAATGGCTTTTAAAAAGCTGGAAGTCTTTACTCAGAAGGCTGGAAGGCTTTATTACCCTGAAACTGTTGTGTTACAAATGAGAAGGAGTAGGCAGCCCAGTACAAAGAATAACTTTTTGGCAGAAGGCTTTTCATTAGTAATAAGTTGGAAAAGGCTGCTCAGTCTTACATCATCCATTTCAAGTATAATGTACACAATTTTAATCTGGTAGCACCTTAAAAAGACCAACACAAATTTCCAGGGTAGAAGCTTTCATGAGTCAAATCTCACTTTGTCTGATACAAACAGAAATGAAGATCCATCAGCCCTTATATCCAGGTCAGAAACTGGGATTGGTGTTGCGAAGAAGGGCCACTTGGAGTCAGGATGCAGAGTTACAGTGCAAAACATAATCAGCTTGGTTAGAGCTGGGAGACCCACACAGAGGTAGAGAATGCAGAATGCAGAGAATGCAGATTAGAATCCTATGTCCCTGTTCAGTGCTGGGGAGGGGTCTCTTGTCCTCAACTTGCTGATGAATTCTGATACAGCAATGTCAGTCTCCCTTTGCTGAACAAAATTCATTAACAGATTCAGGACAATTGTCCCTCCAGGGCTGAACAGGAACACAGGATTCTCCTCTCATCACAGTTGCTAATTTTCTGCATTTTCCACCTCTATGCATATCTCCCAGTTCTAATCAAGCAGATTACGCTTTCATCGTGCCTCTGCATCCTGACTCCAGCTGGCCCTTCTTTGCAACATCCCTCCTACCTTCTGACCTGGATTATAAGGACTGATGGATCTTCATTCTTATTTGCATCTGACAAAATGAACTTTGACTCACAAAAGTTGGAAAATCTTGTTGGCATTTTAGGTGCCACTGGACTCAACTTTTGCCCTCTTACTACAGATGAACAAGACTACCACTGGAAAGGATAATGCATGTACACATATCAATTCTGTGTTTAATAACAGCAAGAGTGAGGAGGGTTAGGCTGAGAGGTGAAGACTGGCTCAAAGTTAGCCAGAGAGCTTCTTGATCAAGTTGAGGCTTGAACCTGGGTATCCCCATCCTGGTCTGACACTCTGACCAGTACATCACACTTGCTATCCATTAAGAACACATACATCCTTCTGAATTCTGTGGGACTTATACATGTTTTATTGACAGACGCACAGTACAGTCCTAAGTACAGCTATACACTTCTAAGTCCATTGACTGCAGTGGATTCAGAAGGGTGTAGCAGTGGATGAGCACCACTCCAGTAAGATGGGAACTTTTAGTCCAGTCCTGCCACTGGCCTGTAGACATTCACTAGTGGACAATTCAGCCAGCTTCAAAGGTGATGAGGCTATGCT